TGACCTCATTAGGTTTTTTTCTTTTTGGTGGTGGTACTGGGGATTGAACCTAAGGTCTCACTGTCCACCAATAAGCTATATTCCCAGCCCTTTTTCTTTAAAAAAAACTTTTCTTTTTTGGTACCAGGGATCAAACTCAGGACCTTGTTTGTATCTGCAAGGCAGGCGCTTTGCCACTGAGCTAAATCCCGGGCCTCGGCCCTTTTTCTTTTGAGACAGGTTTTCACTAAGTTTCCCAGGCTGGCCTTGGGCTTGCAGTCTTCCTTCGGCATGTCTAGATTTTCCGGGGTTTAAGGAGAGACACAGCCACAGAACAGACAGACTTAGTGTCTCCTTCCTTTTCTGTATTATTCGAAGCCTGTAGGTTTCTGTTACCAGTGATGTGGAGCTCTCCGGAGAAGGGCTTAAGAGCCATCAGCTGAGAGAGTCCCCTGCCAAGTCGCCCTCTGGCTGCTCCCTGGTTGGCCCCCGGCCAGTCACTCTGACCTCCACTCCCTCACCTACGAAATGGGAACAACTCTACCTCCCAGGTGAGCGATGGTAAATGAAAGCTTTCAAATCTCTTTGAAGATGAAAACTCTGCCTAAGCAGGAAGCTTTAGGAGTGTATCACTGCGGGCAAGAACCTGGACGCTGCACGCTTGTTGCCCACCACAGAAAGAAAAAGTACACAGTAGTGACAATCTCATCTGCAAGCTGGGTGTAGTTTTAAAAAATCATTTATTTTCAAAACGCCTTCCCAAGGACTGATGAGAGTGCAGCTGTTGGGACCTTGGTATGACTCGGAGAGGAAAAAACCCGCAATTACGTGAAGAAGTCACCTCCCTGTGCGAGCTGTTACACAGTCCGTGAACTGAACCGTTCGACCAGGGCTCGGGGAGCCTTGCTGTGGCATCAGGGAAGTGGCGTGATTCCCACTCATTACACACAATAACCGTACACATTCCCCACGTTACCCCAAGCCTCTGTGCGAAGCTGATATGTGACGGAGGACTCTGTTTAACTGCAGCCTTGAAGGTGTAGCCTCGCACCTGTAGCTCCCCACAGAGCTCTGCACTTGACCTTACGTTAAGCCACCTCTTAAGTTTTAACTTGATGGCGACTGCCACTGGAAACATTTTTCAAAAAACAACTGTGAACACCTGCCAAGCACACGCACCCCCACCCACCTCAAACAACTAATGCCAAACATGTGCACACTGAAATTAGGCAGCCCTGAAGGTGTGGGACGCGGGCCATCTTTGACTCCTTATACATGCAATGCTCAGCTACGTAAGAGTTAGAACACGGGGGGCTAGACTGTCCCGAAGGAATTCAGAGAAAGCTGAGCTGCAGGGTTCAGGAAATCTCGGAAGAACAGGAAGCCAGGCACCTCTTCTCATGTGGCTGTCTGTGAATACCCGGTAGTTCTGACACTGGCAACTGAACATTAACCCTTGGTACTATGTTTCCATCCCTACAAGATTAAGCTTTCTTAAGGAACTGACTCATATTCCTTGATGCATGTGTGTCTTTGCTAAAAGCCAAACCCAAACGAGCACGTTCGTCCCTCGACATGGAAATTCTCTCAAATCAGAGAAGAAACAGAATTTTCACGTAGAGGAACAGTGTATGGCCTTGAGTTTTAGAACCAGTTTTCACTAGAATTCTCTAACTTCACATAAAGCCCCCAAATGCCTGAATTTAAAGCAAATGACTGCTGACTTGTTTGGAGAACTATGTAGTAACGAAGCAAAACTGCAGTAAACTCTCTTGACCAGCAAGAGAAGAGGCTTTCTAATATTTCCTTAGTCATTTAATGGGTCAAACACCGAGTAAGTTCTCACCCAGTGAAGACGGTGTGGCCAAAATCAGTGATGTGTGTTCCTCTCTCTTTCTGCACCTTCAAATCTAATCTCATCTCAAAACTTGTGGGGTGACTGGGAAGTCAAGAGCCAAGACAAAGTTAACTGGCCATTCTGCCATTTATTCTCAGCTGGAATAAGGTCTCTCTAAATTCCAGAACTAACTACTATTTTCAGTATATAGTTCTTGAAGACTTTCCAGGACTTTGGGATCAGGTACACTCAACAAAAACCCTTCTCTTGAATCTTTCAGTGTGGAATGAATGTCATTTCATACCAGAAGGAAAAAGAATCCGTTTTATTTTACTAATTGGTTAGAGTATGCTCAAGGGAAATTCCTAATAACTTCTTTTCCAACATTAAGTGTCCCTCATGTAATTCTGGATAATACTAGATGCAAAAATGTCATCTGATTTACAGAACCGCATCTAATCTTTTTTAGCGATCAACCTCACTCAAGATAGCAATTCCTTTTTTCCCCTTACCAAGAACAAATACAGCCACATTTAGGTTAAGTCCTTCCTTTCCTCACAGTTCAGAACAATGGGGTCAGGTCTCCACTGTCATTATTCAGTCTGTTTTTCACACAACAGAAAATATCTTTAAAACCAAACCAATTCTGGAGATCTTATCTAGTTTCTGTTCAACCAAAAACATTAGAAATACTGCCATTTCATAACATAGCCTTATACAATCATGCCAGAATTGTCACACCTAAGCCCAAGAGATATCCACTCCATTTTACAGCTTTTAAGTTCACACTGCATATGCATATCACAAACTGTACCCATTTTATAATCTTGGAATTTCAATTTTTGAGCTGCTGCTGCTTTTTTTTTTTGGTACCAGGGATCGAACTCAGGACCTTGAACTTGTAAGGGAGGCATGGTGCCACTGAGCTAAATCCCTGGCCCTAAAATTTTCTTTAATAATGGACACACATAATGCTACAAAAATGAACAGACCTGATTTGCTGAATTCCAAGTCCAAATACTAAAGTCCATTGACACAGAAAAGGGCTTTCATAACAAATAGGACATTGGAATATAGCATTATAATTCACTGAATAAGTCATTCAAAATATTCTGTTGGCTGTAGAGTCCTTTTTAAAAGGCCAAAGTCTCCTGCCTAAAAGCTAAGTCATTGATCGTTAACTCCAGTTGCACAATTTCCATGACCTCCTGGCTGTACCATCAGAAAAACCAGCTAGATGAAGGAAGGTGCCCAGAAGCAGGTCAAAGTCACAAAAATCCAGGTAGGTCTCAAGAGTTTACCAGGTGAAGGAACCCACTGTTTCTTTCCATTCGCTTGGGTTGTTTTGTGGAGATCAGTTACTGCTTATTGAATAGTCAGTTGCGTCACTTAAGAAATATCCCCTGACCAAACAGATTTTGGATTCATGGTGAAAGACTGGAAAAAAATTTTAACTTTAAGCTTTGGAAATGCATTCATACCCCTGTGTAAGGAGCCATACAAGACAACATGCCCACCGTCATGGCAACACTGAGTCATGAAACCAAAACTTTCCTGGTGCCCAGATTATTTCAGGGGGTGGAGGTGATGCCCCCACCCATCTTATTCCACCTCTGCCGTTTTCCACTTCAAGGAGGCCACCCCAGGCTTCCTTGGACCTTAAATGAGAGATAAGAGAAGGGTCTGGTTTCAATCAAAAAGCACAAGCCAGCTATATAGGCTTGTGAGACACAAAAGTTGTCACACTAATCATCTTAAGATTATAAGATCTTGAACAGTTAGTGACCAACTCTTAGATGACAAATTCTACTTGGTTCCTCCACTCTCATTTTCCAGCACAAAGCCTGTCATAGCCAAACCATAGGTCTGGCAAGTTCAGAGTCTTCAGATATTTTATAGGTGTACTTTGGCATTGCAACTCCATGTTTTGCTTTTTTTTGTTGTTGTTGTTAATTTTCTTTTACAATGCATGTCTAAGACAGTCAGTCCAGGCAGGCACAGAACCACCAGAAGAATGACATGAGTTCTTCTGATTACTTCTCTGACTGTACACTCTTTAAATGTGCTGGTTAAAGAAACATTTCCATTCCTAATTATACTGTAAACGCTCAACCAGAGATTAGCGAGCAGTATTTCCTGACAGCTGAAGCACAGTTGTTTCTTTATTCATTCCCAAGGGGAAAGAGCTAGAGTTGGTGGCTATTCCTTAGCAGGAAAGGAAAATGCAGAGAAAAGCAGTGGGACCTTTGGGGATACGAAGTAGTTCTGAGATAGGAGCAGGAAGGCTCTGGACCAAGCAAAGAGACAGACTGTCAGATTTATTTTAAGAAAGTGTGACATCTGAACAACCAGGATATAATATGTAATAAATGTCATCCTTTTCCCAGCAAAAGGAAATAGATAGCCTGGGTGTTTATCTCGAAGATGAATTTTATGTAAGACGCACACAGAACCGGGGCAAAAACACAGTGGCCATGCAGATATCCACAGAGGTGCACAGCACTGGTTTGTGCACCTGCAGTCCAGAGCGCATCCCGAAATGCAGTGACTATCCTGCACACACCCCCCTCAGCTTTCCGGGGGTGCCCGCGTGTGCCTTTTTCACTTCAAATAGCTTGAATGAGCATGAAATTATTACTGGCATAAGTGAATCCTTCTAATTTGTGATGAAAAGTGTACCATTCACACGCTGGTACTTCAGAACCGCGAGGTTTTCAAGTTCACTTTACAAGTGGTGGCAGCGTACTTCACAGTGGATAGAAAGGCACTGTGATCACTAGCAGCTGCCTTCGGCACAACTTCCTGTCACAACTGGAGTGCAGAACAGCAGATCCTTTTTAAAGCCGATGACTGCTCTCATCTTAAGTCATACTCCATACATACCTATCACGTAGGTGCACCGTACACAACTCAACAGCACACTCGGCACACTTGCACATACACCACACTCACAACACCCGTGTTCCATGCACACAGGTCCATCCAGCTGCAAATCCCACCACCGGGGTCAAGGAGCAGCAGGACCAGGTACCAGGGACAGAAGAGGGCGCACTACCCACTAGCACATTTCGCCCTGTTAGGCTAGCTTACAGCACAGAAATGAGCAACGAAAGTGCAAACTGTATGAAAAGGAAAATAAAGAAGAGAGCTGAGTACAAGCTTGCAGGTGAAGGTAGAGACTCACTTTGTAAACTCCACAGCAAAGGGCCGGCTCCCTGCCTGCTTCTTTTCACACGCTGTGTGAACTTGGGCGCGTTCTCCATGCCCGTGTCACCAATACATGTTACCTCCACCCCCGACACCTATCTCTTAAGGATGCTTTAACTTTGCTAGAGTTGAGGGAACGATCCAAAAAACAGAGGGCTGAAGTTGTGATAACCCTTCTGTATAAAGATGGCATTTAGTAGCTAAACCCAATGGGTAACTAAATCGCACAAACATGATCTAAAGAAACCAATGATTTTTCTTCCCTAGGAGACACAGCAGCGGGGCTGGCTTCTCGGAGAGGAGGAAGTGGTCGAGTTGGGGGGAAGACTGAACGCTGGGGTCAGGAGGCCTCCGCAGCTGCCTGTGTGGTGAGCAGCCCTGACCTGACACCCGGGAAACCCCCTGGCCGGCCGTCTCCAGGAGCGGCCTTCTGGTCTGTTCTCGGGCACAGAGCGCTGGAAAAGGTAAACCTCGAGGCCTGGTCCTCTGAGTTGGACTGTTGTCTACTCGGGGAGAGGACAGGGTGCATGGTGGAAGAGAGGCCTCCCTGGTAACCAGTTTGTCCATTTTTACTTCACGCTGGGGGAGGAAGGGAGCACTCTGACACGTTCTCTTCAAGATCCAGAGTTAGCGTGCAGAAGGGTGCCCACTGGGGCAAGACACTGCTGCTACACAACTGTCTCCTCTCCTCTGGCCTTATCCTAAAAGCAATATATACTACATCAAACAGAAGCCTTTGGGATACTGTACTGCCACACAGAAGACACAGGGCAAAACCAGGCTAATGTGGTGTTGATGGAAAATATTTTTTTTTCTTTTTTTGGGGGGGTACTGGGGATCGAACTTGGGACGTTGCGCTTGTGAGGCAGGTGGCAGAGCCACTGAGCTACATAAATCCCTGGCCCTGTTTTTCTTTTTCTTTCAGATCAGTTTCAATTGCATATGCTGGCCCAGGGTTTTGTTTTTTTGTGTTGTTTCTCTCTCTCTCTGAAGGCACTTTTGCTTGAACTCACTGGAGGCAAAGCTCCTAACTGATAGCTTTAGTGTTAGGGCCACAAGCTGCACTGTTAGGACCTAAAGCCGGCTGAGGTATTAGATAGCAAGGATCAAGAGCAAGGCTGATGGGGACACAGAGAAATGATTTTGGAGACAGGATCTGGTGGTTTCACCAAAGCGTACTCCTAAGCCCTCTGCTGGTGTCCCCTAGAAAAAAAAAAATCATTGTTTTCTTTCAATCATGTTTGTGATTTAGAGTTACCCACTGGGTTAGCTACTAAATGCTGTAAAACTCTGGGGAGCCAGTGCCCGGTGCAGGGGCTGTGGGCGCCCTAACTTCCAGGCCCTGACTGTGTCTTCAGTGTCATTCAGAGACTCGATGCAGTCACTGAAAGCCAGTCCAGGAAACGGAGTCCAAAAAGAGTTAAGGTATTAAAAAAAAAAATCATTTGAATAAAAGTACACCATTCCACATTCAAAATCTGATTGGGACAGGATCCTATTGGAGATCTGTATCTATATTTATATCATCATCTCCTTTGATACTGTTTTCAAAATCAGTCATGCCTCAAACACACTCACCAATAATCAGAGGGAAGGCCAGCACCCACAAGGAGCCCGCGTTCCCTTACCACTCCCTTCACCGTCTATCACAGGGAGGCTTCTGACCGGTCCTTATCCATCCCCAGCCTCCAAAATACCTAATATTTCTGTTGAAGCCAATTATCTGTTCTTGGAATCACCCTTCTGAGCCGTCAGATTACATGAACTGATTACTCTGCCGTGGAATTTACCACTGCCAACAGTAAGAGCAGGCAATGCTGCCGGAGGAGAAGTCTATTTCAGATAGTGTCTTGAGAGAATCACGGTACCTATGAGAGAAGGGGAAGCCTCTTCCCACTTCTGCGGAGGTAAACTGTGCTAAGGAAAGCGCATTTCAGTACCTGATGAGACGCTACCATCCTTTCAGAGTCAATCTGTCGTTTCCCTTCCTTTCCTCATTCTTGACTTCTGGCCACTGCTAATCATCAAAGAGTGTTTTCTTTGGGCATAGTTTTAAATATGTAAAAAAAAAAAAAAAAAAAAAAAGTCCCCAGTAAGGCTTGGAGTGTGCGGGCACCGTGACAGCAGTGACTTTAAAAGTCTGTGTGATGTTTAAATATCGCATTTTTTCTCGTGTGAGAAACTGAAAGTGTAAATGAGGACCCAAATGGAAGACAGATATTTGGAAGTAGAAAGAAATGCTCAAATGGGAAGGGAAACAAGGGGGGGAAGAAAAAGGGAGGGAAGGGAAAATGGGAAAAAATCAAAGAGAAGGAAAAAAAATGGAAACTACAATCCTGTAAATAGGAAAGGATAGAAGGGTGAGAAGGAGCGGAGGGGACTGGAGAAACAGGAATCAAGATACGTCATGTACAGTAAGTACAAACTCCCTACGATGCATGTGATCACTATGTGCATCGGAAGTGCACCAATAAAATTAATTGAAAAATAAAAGGTCTATGTGATGTTTATATCATATCATTCCAAGACTTTCTTTAAAGGGACTTTAAGACAGACAATAAAATGCAGAAACCAAACTTCCAAGGCAGGATCAGTCTGCCTTCAGCCTAACCCATGAGCGGAGACGTGGGACTGTGGAGCCCTTGGTCCCACCCCAAGCCACACCTCCCCACGTCCCTCCTAACTTGGCAGATAGCCAGCGGTGTGCCATCTCCAGCCCTGCCCACACTGCCAGGCCTATCCTTCAGGCTGTCCCTGAGAAAAGAGGGAGCAAGAGAGGACCCTATACAAGAAAACGGAAAACTCTGACGGCCAACTAACAGATTTTCTAAGTTAATGATATATTTTAAATGTATATAATACTGAGTTCGCCTCCACTGCTACTTGAATTCACGTGTGGCCGTCTATTGAGAGAGCAGCTGCTAAACCAGGGGAATTAGTCAGAAATACTTGAGCAGCAGGTATTAACGGGCCGTGGGCAGGGGGGTCTGCGATTGTGAGCATGAGACCCAAGTGGGACTGCTCCCTGGGCCTGGCAACCACCTCCCTCCCTCCATGTGGCCATTTTTCTCTGTCTGCAGAGAGCCAAGCAACCCCAGGGGCAGGGCAGAGAGAAAAGAAAATAAGCAGCCTTTCTAAACAGCATCGCATCAACCATAAAAACCAAAATTTAAAGAAAGCTCATTTCTATGTCTCCAGACATATCTACTCAGATAGAAAAAAACAACGATCACTCCAAAGGTCTTCTCCTGGGCACATCAACATCACAACTACAACTCACAATGAACTCCCTGTGTGCATCCTCGACCCGACCCAGGGGAGGCATTCTGCGCAAGCGCAGAAAAGCACCAAGCTGTCCCATGACCAAATGAGGCTGCCACTTAGTGATTTCTGAACTGGCAGCTGAAGTCAGAATTCTCCTGTGATTACTGTCAGATGGTGGCAGAGAAGGCCACCCTCGGCAGCCTCCCGGGGAGGAGTTTCCCTTTTGTTCTCCCTGCCCGCAGCGTCCCACCTGCACTGCTTGATGGACAGTTTTGTCAGTTGGGAAGCAGTGGCTCTGAGGCACGGGTCAGGGAGGCCACGTGGATACCCGACTCAGGCCACGTACGTGGGATGGGGTGCTCCCTTTGCTGTTCTGGTCACCATCACCTACGCTCAATCTTCTGGAAGGAAAGGAGGGGTCGGTATCTTCTTACAACAAACTTACTGGCAGCAGCCTCACAAAGTCAGGTCTGCTGTTCAGAGTGCTGGTGCTATCACTGCCACCAGCTACTCTGCGTTACAACCATCACTACTGAAAATGCCGATGAGATGAGGATGACAAGTGTGCACCTGTATACTCCTCCATCTCTTCTCTTTTTTTAAAAAAAAGTATATATGTGTGTGTGTATATATATATATACACATACACACACACACACACACACACATTTTTTTTTTTTTTTTTTTTTTTTTGAGACAGGGTCTCACTCTGTAGTTGAGACTGACCTGGAACTCACTGTGTAGCCCAGGCTGGTCTCGAACTCACAGTGATCCTCCTGCCTCAGCTTCCCGAGTGCTGGGATTACAGGTGTGCGCCACCACGCCCGGCTTCCTCCTCTTTTTTTAACGAAAGGGCCTGGACTGGTTTCTTTACTTTCTTTGGCACATGAATTGCTGGTGGTTTTCAAGGATCCAGTTTGATTTTCCAGGAGAACCATGGCCACTAAACAGGATGCTAAGACACTGCTAGAGGAGGCAAAGGCAGTTCCAGGAGAGGGATTACACATTAGCTACTGGCGGTGATGGTGTTCTTGTCGTGGATGTTCAGCCTCCCCAGCTGACTGCTCCGAAGGGCAATGTTCATGTAGAACCACACCTCCTAGAACATTTGTTAAAATAAAATCAGCCTCATTGCCCAATAATGTAAATGACTTAGGGAGGGAACTCGTGTCTCAGTCTCATTCTGTTTCTTGACAATATCATCCAATTAGGGTAGACTCGGTGGAAATTCTGATTTCATTGACCATCACCGCTGATGAAAATATGCTTTCTGAAGTCATGCTCTGAAATAAACTAAGTTGTTTGCTCCAACTACCTACACACAAATTAGAAAATTATACGATGAGGAGTTTATACCGCCTGCAGCCGGGACACAGGTTATTACCGAAAGTAGCCACCGGCATGGTTTCTGGTTTCGCCGTAAAAGAAGAAGACTTGAAAGGACTCGGTGGTTTTGATGTTCGTCTGAAATGAAAACCCTCCACGAGTGCGTGGCACTGGGCTGTCATTAATGTCAGCCATGCGAAGACCCTGTCGCCACGAGCTTGGTAGTCATTTTCCTGCTGTGACCACGGCTTTCCACTCTGGTACTTCAGGCACTGTGTTAGTATTTTTCCAAGAGACTCTTTGGGCAGTCTTGTCTAGGGAAGCATACACTGGCACACACACAGCCCACTGCTAAGTGAATAGGTGGCCCGAGTTTGGTAAAGTCAGCCAATACTATCCACGGGAGGATGTATTCCTTTTTTTTGTTTTTTTAGGTTTTTTTGAGACAGGGTCTCACTACGTAGTTGAGACTGATCTGGAACTCATTATGTAGCCCAGGCTGGTCTCGAACTCACAGCGATCCTCCTGCCTCAGCCTCCCGAG